ATACGTAACAAAAGTTGAGATTGTTGTGTAAATTATCTTAGAGTTTTTTTTTACTTACGATTGTTATAAACCATAATGCTTTTAACGTCTATAAATAATATATTATCAAAAATACAACCCATAACAATAAACATACTAAATTTTACAATTTTCAACAAATATATCAAAATATTTCTGAAAAGATTTTTGTGACTTTTTACTTTCTCGTATATACGAAGTATAGAGAAAGTATTGTAATCGTGCACAAAAATCACTTGAAATTTTAACAATTTTCACCGTATTACATCTCAGTCCTTCATCACATCCGAAGTATAGAGGACTTATTTTAATCGGGCAAAAATTATCAATCCAGATTTATCAAAATTAAGAGGTTTCATGCGTAATACAGTCTGAAAAACTGGGCTTTGCAATTCTGTCCGTATGTCTGTGTGTCTGTCTGTCTGTCTGTCTGTGTGTGTGTCCGTATGTAAACACGATAACTTGAGTACCGTTACAGCTAGGTTGATGAAATTTCATATATAAGTATTTTATCAAAATCGTAGATCCGTATCAACTTTTGAGCGATTTCCTATAACCGGAAGTAGTACTTTTTCTACTTTGAATTTTTCAAAAGCCTATAACTTGAGTACTATTTCAGATAGATAAATGAAATTTCACATGTAAGTACAAGATCTAATTCTCTAGCTTCTGTTAAATTTTGAGTAATTTCCATTGACTGGAAGTAGTAATTTATGCTACTTCCGATTTCTCAAAAAACTAATGTAAATTTTTAAAGTACTAATAATATTGCGCACTATTATGCACTTTTTTTATTTGGCGTTCACTTGGTGTGCAATTCTTTTGTCTACGAGATTTTATTCTATTTTTAAAACTTTAAGTATTTAAAATGGATTAAAAATCATGTCTATAGCCCGAGTTCCCATCCCCTGTTGTTTTATATAAGAATATTCGAGAAAGTTTAGGGGAGATCACTCCCGGTTTATTTTAGCGCAATTTCAAAAAAAGAAAAATTGCGTTTAATAATGCGTCATTTCTGGATGGATGGATGTGTGGATGTGTGTCCGCAGCTTTCAGTCGTATCTCCTCCTCAACGAAGCAATATCGAGGACCAGTTCCAAATCAAATATGTTAAGCAAGTTCCAAGGATGATTGTGGGCCAAAAAAATTCCCGGAATTCCTTCCTGGATTTCCCGGAAAAGCCAAAAAACCTCGAAAAATGCAGCTTTTGGTCCATATCTCGGCAACCAGACCACTTAGCGACTTGAAACATTTACCAATCGATATCCTGCCATAATTTAGAACAATATTGCCGAAGAAAGTTTTCAAAAATATCCTTTCGTACGGTCACAAAATTTAAAAAAAATTACAAACCGATCGTTCTCCTAGCTTGAACGCACCCCAGCATTATACGTCTTGTGTTTCGTCCCCGTGTGTTTACCCCTTTTTTTCGACTGATAAGTGGGATCGTTCGCGTCACTGCGCGTGGCAAGAGAGAGAGAGAGAGAGAGAGAGAGAGAGAGAGAGAGAGAGAGAGAGAGAGAGAGAAAGAGAGAGGCGAGCTACGCGTCGCTTGTTTTTTTCCACGTGCTAATGTTTACAAAAAATTGTTATGGATAACACAAGGAAATTGCGCTTAAATTGTCGCTAGACTTTTTATTAACTTGTTTCTGTAACTTTATTTCTGTGACTTTTTTTCCGATAAAATTTTTCCATTGTTACTTTTTTTCTGTGACTTTTTTCCTAGCAAAAACTGTGACTTTTTTCTGTTTTTTTTTCCTGTGACTTTTTTCCGTTCACCATCTAGTCATGCCATCTCTCTGCGTAGCATTTTTATAATCCGATTTGTGCTTAGCCAGGTCTTCTGGCCAAAACATTTTATTATCAATCTGTCCTTGAACTCAAGATTTAATAACTAAGCAGGTAACCTGGTAAAGCGTGTCAGACGAATGTTATGTAGTGTCGGAGACAGACGTCTAGCGAGATACCTGAAAGGATGCCCCCCCCCCCCTGGTGCGTTGACCCAACAATATGCGAAAAGGGGAGGCGGGATTTAATGTAAAAGGCGCGAAGCTGAAATCGCGGTGACCGAAGGGGCTAGTATGCCACAGGTGTCATAGGTGATGCGTGGGCTATTTTTGAGATCAGGAGAACTAATTCTACCATGTCTGTCAGTCACAATTTTGAAACTCCTCCCATATCGAGAGAAAACAAACTATTCATTGGTTTTGAATATAACCAATAGTGCTTGTTAACATTAAATCTATATATATATTCTAAATATTTAAACAAGCACGGTCTGCCGAAAAGAGAAACCTTTGTCTATATAGTCGCGTCGTTATTTGAGCGCGTAGCGAAGTGTTTCTACTGCAGAAATTAAACCAAGGGAAATAATCGATAAATCAACTTGTCGACTGTAAGGAGCTTAAGGTTTTAATAATAATCATTAAAAAAGTTTTAAAAAACCCACGTTTTCTGATTGAACTAAAAAGTAGAAAATAAATACTATACATCACAATAATGCAAGCGATCACTCTACTATAAGCGATGAAAAACGTGGGGCGCCGAAGTAAAAGTTATATTACTATTGATTAGATAATACTATTGACTTTTATTAGGGAGCTTGTAGAGAGTCAACAGTATTAGAAACAGTAAGAAAATCACGGCGCCCCACGTTTTTGATCGCTTATAGTAGAGTGATCGCTTGCATTATTGTGATGTATAGTATTTATTTTCTACTTTTTAGTTCAATCAGAAAACGTGGGTTTTTTAAAACTTTTTTAATGATTATTATTTTCTACTTTTTAGTCTTTGTCTGTTTGCATTAAAATCTTGCTATCGATTTTATCTTTTCACTTTTTTTTTGGGTAAACGAAGACAACTCGTAAAAAGACAACTCGTAAAAAGACAACTCGAAAAAAAATCGTTGTGTGAATACGTTACTGACTAGAACACATAGATTTGAACCCGTGTCGAGTGGGATAGCAATCGTGTGCCCAACCACTCGACCATATCGTCTCCCACAAACTGGCCTACATCCTGTAAGTTTAAACTCGGTTCAAAGTAAATTATTTGCCCCTAAGCCTGTGGCAACGTGGGATCGTTCGCTTCACTGCGCGCGAGGTACGCGTCGCTGGTTTTTTTTCTAATGGCTCGCAGAGGAGAATTATATATATAGATTATATAGCGGTCTAAAATGCTCAATAAAATGTTTCCATTGATCAATTTAGTAATAATAACAATTGCATATTCTATGGTCATCCAAAAGAAAGCTTCCCTGAAAATTTCAGCGCGCTAGCTAACTGGGAAGTGCCAGAAATTTCGATCGCAAGATTTGATTGGAAAGACAAACAAACACAGAAAGACACAGAGAAAGCAAGTTAAAGAAAACTTGGGAAAAAGTTTATTGTCCGTATAAATTTTGTCACTTGAACGATAGTATTTTTATGATGGTTTAAAAAATTGAAGCGTGAGAAGCATGCTTCTATCATTTTTCACTACTCCCTCATGAGAGCCTCTATTGATATTATGCGACCCAACCTACTAATCTATGTATATATATATATATATATATATATATATATATATATATATATATATATATATATATATATATATATAATTGTGTATTTGCATATATTTGTATATCTAAAAGCTTCACAAGGCTGGTACGGGCACCGAAAACACTATCTAGTAAGTAAGGGGTGACACCAAATCGAAAAATCGCAACATTTCCTGTTTTAGTTCCAGTTAGTGCAAAAAAAAGTAGGGTATCGGAAATAAAATAGCTATTTGCAGCATAGTCTACTATATTTTTGTCTCTTAAACACGTAAATCTATTAAAGAATCTATGCTATAGTTTTCAACTATGACATAAGTTTACACAAACTAAATGACTAAATTAATATAACCGCGTACTTTGCGCGGAGAAAATAATTCTTTGTTCACATAGTTAAACTTGGAAAGTTTCAACTTACCTTACATAATATATCTCGACTTAAAATATATTGACACAATCTACGTTAATCCTTTCAACTAGTAAATAAATTTTAAAACTATTATTACATCAAAAGCAACTTGTTACATTCTTGAAGATTTTTGTTTTAGTGGTCGTCCATAAATGACGTCAAACTCGTAGGGGGGAGGGGGGGGGGGTCCGTAATTTTGTGACGGTGTGTGATGAGGGGGAGGGGGGGTTCATGGTGCGACGTCACACTTTTGCATTATAAAAATGCAATGTTAGTAAACGAATTTATTTTGCGTTTTAGAAAACTGTTTTAATAAGTTGTAATAACAATTGATTAAAATACTCTATTTTGACAAAGTTCAGACAAGATTTTGGAAAAATATAGCTGTTTAAACAAAATTCAACTGCAATTTTGAGGGGGGGGGGGGTTGTAGGCTGAGGTGTAAAGTCATTTTAGGGGGGGGTCTGGCTTTTTGTGACGACGTGTGAGGGAGGGGAGGAGGGGAGGTAAAGATCGTCAAAAAAACCGTGACTTCATTTATGGATGACCCCTTACGATATATGGGTTAGATCATACAATTCTCTCCAATACTGGCAATAAAAAAATATATTTTCAAAGAGAGTCACTAGTTTCAAGGGCTCAATTTATTTACTTAAACAGGGGACCTTGGGACATCGGGCGCCCTTGGACCTCGGGCGCCCTTATAAAATTGAAGTAAGGAAAATTACGATGAATGCGGATATATAATGTAGATTTATTATTCTATTTCGTACACAGAAAAGAGGATTTGTTGTGATCGTGCTGAATAATTAACAGATATTTTGATAGTTTTCGCAGTTTTACACCTCCATACTTGATTATACACGTGCAAAAAAATCTAAACCGATTTTTACAAATTTTGACGTTTCACTTTTTTTCGAAACGGGAAAAAATAGTTTTGCGATTGTGTCTGTCTGTGTGTTTGTATGTGAACATGATAACTTGAGTACCGCTTCAGTTAGGAAGACGAAATTCGACACTTAAGTGTTATATCGTATGCTCGGGTTTCTTTCGACTTTTGAATCATTTCCAATACAAAGTGAAACTTTATTTTCGCGTGAACACGATAACTTGTGTACCTTTTTAGTTAGGTATAAAGAATTCCATGGTTATGTAAAAGATCTTATACATGGGTTACTTAAATTTTTGAGTTACTTCCGATAACCAAAAGTGTTACTTTTCTACATTTTCGTATTCTAAAATACCGGTAATTTGAGTAACTTTTCGGTTGGGTCAACTAATTTTCATACATATGTATAAAATTCTATTCTCTTAATTCTATCAAATTTTGAGTGCTTTCCGATCACCGGAAGTAGTACTTTACGGTATATCCGATTTCTCAGAAAAATACAAATTCTACCGGATCTTTTCACGTAGATTAAGAGTAAACCAGCTCACCGAGGCACTTCGATGCTTAATTGACTTTTAATAAATAAATCAATGATTCCTTCATAAAGTAATAATTTTATGCTTTTTTAATACTCACACTGTTTACGTTTATTTTGGTGGGCAATGTTTTTCTATTTAAAAAAAAATAATGTGTGAGAAAGTTTAAGGTGAGACCACTCCAGCTGAATTTCATCTGAAATCTAACTCGAAAAATGAAAGCATTAATAACTACATATCTCGCAGCTAATCTAAAACCATCATACCAAATGTAAGCAATAAGTCTACTTAATGTATACATTAACTGTCTACTTAATGAGTAAATTTATTAACTGGACCATGATCTTTGATGTTGCTAAAAAACTTAATGAATAAATTAATTAACTTACTAGGGACTTTGGTGTGAATAAAAAACTTAATGAATAAATTAATTAACTCACTAGGGACTTTGAGTTAATAAAAACGTAATATATAAATTAATTAGGGCCTTTGAGTTGATAACAAACGTAATGAATTAATTAATGAGATCTTTGGTGTTGATAAACAATACTCTAAACCCCAGCGTTTCTCATTCACAGACACTTCATCTCCAACCACATGAAACGATTTTTAAAATCGTCAAAAGTACACCGTAATTATGCTATCGAAATTTTACCTCTGAATATATCAGTTATAACTTACCTTATTTTATATTCATTAATTTAAAAAACAAAACAACCGGTACCTAGTGAGCGCACTGTTATAATAAAACAGTCAAACTTATGACCTACACAACAGTATCAGATTGATGAAAAAATTCTGTGAATTGGAGGATATGAGGTTTAATCTTTGAAAATAATGAATACACTTCATTGTGATTCAGTGGACTAGTAATAACCACGCTTATCAAAGTACTAAAATAATTAAAACACCGCATTATGATTCAGTTGACTAGTAATAACCACGCTTATCAAAGTACTAAAATAATTAAAACATTGCATTATGATTCAGTTGAGTAGGAATAACCACGCTTATCAATGTACAAAAATAATTAAAACATTGCATTATGATTCAGTTGACAAGGAATTATCACGCTTATCAACGTACTAATATCTGAGACCATTTAAAACGTTCTTGTCATAAATTAAATGCAATTTGTGAGGCCGATATAAAGCCATCATAACCCGGCTATTCGCTAATAGTCTCCAGCTCGCACAGTACCACTGTATCAAGACAACGCTTATATTTGTAAGTATGTGACTACGCTTACAATATTGCTAGATTTTTGTTTGCCTAGAAATATAATGCTACTAAGGTCGTGTTCTGACGATAAATCTAAATCGAATTTCAAAAGCATAGATGTGTTAAAATGTTTGTATTCATAGTCGTCCTATTTAAAAAAAATATTATTACGGATGCTTATAATATATATATATATATATATATATATATATATATATATATATATATATATATATATATATATATATATATATATATATATATATATATATATATATATATATATATATATATATATAAATAAATAAATAAATAAATAAATAAATATATATATATATATATATATATATGTATATATGTATATATATATATATATATATATATATATATATATATATATATATATATATATATATATATATATATATATATACGATATGTTAAAATAGTAAAGGTTTATGCAAATAGGTCTTCTTTAGATAAAATAGATCCTTTTTGACAAAAAATAAATAGTATTTAGCCTTTGATAAGCATTTATTTTTAGTAAGCTGTATTCTTTGATATGTGATTACAAATACTAAAATGTCTTGAGAATTTAATAACCTACCACATACACCAGAATCTGATGAAATGACAAAACGAAACTTAAAAACAAAAAATAACTTTTAAGCCTATATATACTTTCACGCATAATCTAAGATATTTGAGTGTAAGTATGATTTATAAAACTTTATCTTTAAAATATTTCAGCCACAATGAAGATCTTGGTCCTGACTTTGTGCTTGACGCTTTTGATGTCACTGACAATGGCTATAGCGTATGAAAGTGAACGGGTAAGTTTACTATTTTGCTATCACTGACAACGGCTTTACCTTTAGTAAGTGAAAGGGTATGTTTACTATTTTGCTATCACTGACAATGGCTTTATCTTTAGAAAGTGAAAGGGTAAGTTTACTATTTTGCTATCACTGACAATGGCTTTACCTTTAGAAAGTGAAAGGGTATGTTTACCATTCTGCTATCACTGACAATGGCTTTACCTTTAGAAAGTGAAAGGGTATGTTTACTATTCTGCTATCACTGACAATGGCTTTATCTTTAGAAAGTGAACGGGTAAGTTTACTATTTTGCTATCACTGACAATGGCTTTACCTTTAGTAAGTGAAAGGGTATGTTTACTATTTTGCTATCACTGACAATGGCTTTATCTTTAGAAAGTGAAAGGGTAAGTTTACTATTTTGCTATCACTGACAATGGCTTTACCTTTAGAAAGTGAAAGGGTATGTTTACTATTCTGCTATCACTGACAATGGCTTTACCTTTAGTAAGTGAAAGGGTATGTTTACTATTCTGCTATCACTGGCAATGGCTTTACCTTTAGAAAGTGAGCTGGTTAGTTAACTATTCTGCTATCACTGACAATGACTTTACCTTATGAAAGTGAACTGTTGGCTGGGGATATTGCTGACTAAACTCTAACCTTGTATACTGAAGTAATTCAAACAGGTGAACTCTACTTCATCTGTCCTGTGTGTCTTGGGCACGAGCGGTAAAAGAAGACGAAATATATAAAAACCTATAAGTATGATCAATATATATATATATATATATATATATATATATATATATATATATATATATATATATATATATATATATATATATATATATATATATATGTGTGTGTGTGTGTGTGGGTGGGTGTGTGTGTGGGTGTGTGGGTGTGTAAAATCCCATTATGCCCATATAATATGAATTAAATACATGTTTATAAAGTGTACTGTAATCAAATCTTATGTTTGTTTTTCACAGAGTTTGGAAGAAACAAGAAGCATCGAAGGTGTGAGAGGTGTTCGTGGTGTTAGAGGTGTTAATGGTGTTAAAGGTGTTCGTGGTGTGCGGGGTGTGAGAGCAACTGACGACAGTTGGGCCAATACGGCAGGAAATGACGCAAGCATCGCCTGGTAATTCAAGTATCAACCGACAGATTCCAACACAACTGTATCAAGCTATTTGGAATTTAAAGTGACGTTTCTTAAAAAAATGGATCAAACTGATTCGCTTTAAAGACAAAAAAGATGTAAATTTAGAACAGAATTTCAAGCTAAAAATAAATAATTTTAATTGATTAAAGTTGTTGTATTAATATATGGATTGACGGATGGGTTTTCTAATGAATATATGCATATATATATATATATATATATATATATATATATATATATATATATATATATATATATATACACTGACTGTTTGCAACACCTGATCACCCAACAAGCTTCAGGTCTAGACATTCTTGCATTGGTGTAACAACAGAAGGCGGTACACCTGACATGAGATGCATTTATAACCCATCATGTAAAAAGGATGACGTTTGTCATTAGATCGACATAGCAGATATGAAAACAGAGGTTATGTAAATCTGTCGTGTGATTTGATATGGTGCTAAAAAACAAGGCATTATGTTCACTTGAGGTGTTATCTTATATGGTGTGTCGAACAGCATCTGTCGTGTCACCTTGTTGGGAACATATTCTTCTGTCACGGTGTTACCCTGCCCTGGAATGTTTCTTAACATAGTTGTAACTAGACTTATCTGCAGTGGCGTCACTAGTTCGTGTGTCACCCGGTGCGTCACTTCATGGTGTCACCCCCTCTCCCTGCACACACCAAAGAAAAAAAATGTATATATATACATTAAATGCATATATATATATATATATATATATATATATATATATATATATATATATATATATATATATATATATATTTATATATATATATATATATATTAGGGGCTGAGTATGTGTGTGTGTATTGGCGAGACTTTTAAACTCTAATTATTCATTAACTGAACAGGCAAAAAGCATGTTTCTTTTATATATTTTAAAATCTTTCGTCTTATTGTCACCCCCACCCCCCTAATGGTGTCACCCGGTCCGCACCCCACTCCTCGCCCCGCCCCACGACGCCTCTGCTTATCTGTAACATGTTTAACATAGCAGTATCTTCACTTGCATGTCAAAAGTTTAACTTCGGTTTAACAAGACTTACCTGACACACGTTTAACAGATTGGCAACTTGACCTACAGGTCGCTTTATTAACAGAATACTTGGACTTACATGTTAAAAAGTTTTAACATTATTTTAACGCTGTCACACGTTTAACATAGTTAACTTCACTTACCCGTCTTAAGTTTAACATAGTTAACTTGACTGACTGTCTTAAGTTTAACATAGTTAACTTGACTGACTGTCTTAAGTTTAACATAGTTAGCTTGGCTGACTGTCTTAAGTTTGACATAGTTAACTTGACTGACTGTCTTAAGTTTAACATAGTTAACTTGACTGACCTGTCTTAAGTTTAACAAGGTTGGTTAACCTGTACAGACACTGCCTTGATATTTGTTTTTTTTTTACATCACCTTTAAAATATGCTAATTAGCTAGTATTCTTTCTTGGTTGAATGTAATATGAGAAATATAGAAGTCAACATGACCTACACTATATGTCTTATTCCTTAAACACGGCCCAACATTTCTCTATACGATACACCTTGCTGACGTTCTTCAACCAAGCACAAAAGACGAACGATTGTAATATAATCTAAACCGTCTTGATACGCTGGGATAGATTTTCTGTATGACATAATAGCCTATGTGGTGTTTCTTCAACATGTGTGTAGGATATTGGAACCACAAATGTTAATTCTTGTAGGAATTATTTTTATTTTTAACTCGTGTTTGATTGGCCTCTTGGTTAAAAGATGATTGTATACCCTGGAAAACGTGGTTTAAGAAAGGTATATTTTTCACCTGGGTGAGTTAATTTTTATTAAGACTATGAAGTAGTTTTTTAAGGCGACACGGATGATTGACTTAGTTTAAAAATTTCAATTTTTAAAATAATACGTTTTTTAAAAATAATACGATTTAAAAAAAAATACAATTTTTTAAAATAATACGATTTTTAAAAATAATACGATTTTTAAAAATAATAATTTTTTTTAAAAATAATACGATTTTTTAAAATAATACGATTTTTTAAAATAATACAATTTAAAAAAAAAATAGTACGATTTTTAAAAATAATACGATTTTAAAAAATAATACGGTTAATGTTACATAAATTCGGATGTGAACTGGCCTACACGTTTTTGTCGTTGTTGCTGTCAGATATTTGACCAAATCTAGCTGTGACCAGCTCAGAAGATGTTTCACACTGAGATGTTTGTCCTGCTGATTTTGACACTCGGCCTGTGTTGGACCTCGGTGCTGTCACAAACAGGTAGGTGACAGTTTGTCAAAGAAAGATTTTGTTGATTTTTATCTTTCGCTGTTTGTTGACTAGGTCAAACTCAAAACAGGGTTTTCACAACAGTAATGCAACAACCGACGATTAATTTAATTTTTAAAAATTCAAATTGTAGAAATGATGTTAATTTATAAATGATATTTCTCATTTTTCTTTGTTATTCAATTGGATAGAGCACAAAAAAGGGGTTCAATAGTTTCTTACGTATTTACTTTTGGAGCAACATCTAAATTTTCTCATTATTTTGTCTCATTAAACTTCCGTTGTTTAAAATTAATATGAAAGTTATTTGATTTTAAAATAAGCAATATTCAACTAACTAATAGTGATATTAATAGCAAGAACAGTATATCTCCACCATTTCCTAGTTACATCAGTGCACCAAAATCAATATTGCTTGTCACTGACTTATATTTGACAACCTAGAAATGGTTTATGTATTAACAATGAGATGTATTATGTCTAATTTTCAGTACAAACTAACACCACTAGCATAAACAACAATACCACAGCAGCAACAACTACATCAGCAGCGTCAACTACCACACCAGCAACAGCGCCAACAGCAGCGCCAACTACCACTACGGCGCCATCAACAACGGCACCAATAACAGCAGCGTCAACTACCACACCAGCACTACCTACAGCAGCAGCACCAACTACCACACCAGCACCACCTACCACAACAGCACCAACTACCACACCAGCACCACCTACCACACCAGCACCACCTACCACACCAGCACCACCTACCACACCAGCACCAACTACCACACCAGCACCAACTACCACCCAGGCGCCAGCTACAACAGCAGCGCCAACTACCACACCAGCACCACCTACCACAGCAGCTTCAACTATCACACCAGCACCACCTACCACACCAGCACCACCTACCACAGCAGCTTCAACTACCACACCAGCACCACCTACCACACCAGCACCACCTACCACACCAGCACCACCTACCACACCAGCACCACCTACCACACCAGCACCACCTACCACACCAGCACCACCTACCACAGCAGCTTCAACTACCACACCAGCACCACCTACCACACCAGCACCACCTACCACAGCAGCTTCAACTACCACACCAGCACCACCTACCACACCAGCACCACCTACCACACCAGCACCACCTACCACACCAGCACCAACTACCACCCAGGCGCCAGCTACAACAGCAGCGCCAACTACCACACCAGCACCACCTACCACAGCAGCGTCAACTACCACACCAGCACCACCTACCACAGCAGCGTCAACTACCACACCAGCACCACCTACCACAGCAGCGTCAACTACCACGCCAGCGTCAACAGCAGCGTCAACTACCACACCAGCACCACCTACCACAGCAGCGTCAACTACCACGCCAGCGTCAACAGCAGCGTCAACTACCACGCCAGCGTCAACAACCACACCACCACCACCTACCACAGCAGCTTCAACTATCACACCAGCACCACCTACCACAGCAGCGTCAACTACCACACCAGCACCACCTACCACAGCAGCGTCAACTACCACGCCAGCGTCAACAGCAGCGTCAACTACCACACCACCACCACCTACAACAGCAGCGTCAACTACCACACCAGCACCAACTACCACGCCAGCGTCAACAGCAGCGTCAACTACCACGCCACCACCACCTACAACAGCAGCGTCAACTACCACACCACCACCACCTACAACAGCAGCGTCAACTACCACACCACCACCACCTACAACAGCAGCGTCAACTACCACACCACCACCACCTACAACAGCAGCGTCAACTACCACACCACCACCACCTACCACAGCAGCGTCAACTACCACACCATCACCAAATATAACAGCAGCGTCATCTACCACACCAGCGCCAACTACAACAGCAGCACCAACTACCACGCCAGCGTCAACAGCAGCGTCAACTACCACAGCAGCACCACCTACTACAGCAGCGTCATCTACCACGCCAGCGTCAACAGCAGCGTCAACTACCACACCAGCACCACCTACTACAGCAGCGTCAACTACCACACCAGCAACAAATATAACAGCAGCGTCATCTACCACACCAGCGCCAACTACAACAGCAGCACCAACTACCACGCCAGCGTCAACAGCAGCGTCAACTACCACAGCAGCACCACCTACTACAGCAGCGTCAACTACCACGCCAGCGTCAACAGCAGCGTCAACTACCACGCAAGCGTCAACAGCAGCGTCAACTACCACACCAGCACCAAATATAACAGCAGCGTCAACTACCACACCACCACCACCTACAACAGCAGCGTCATCTACCACACCAGCACCACCTACAACAGCAGCGTCAACTACCACACCATCACCACCTACAACAGCAGCGTCAACTACCACACCATCACCACCTACAGCAGCGCCAACTACCACACCAGCACCAAATATAACAGCAGCGTCATCTACCACACCAGCAACAGCGCCAACAGCAGCGCCAACTACCACACCAGCACCAACAGCAGCATCAACTACCACACCAGCACCACCTACAGCAGCGCCAACTACCACACCAGCACCAGCGTCAACAGCAGCGCCAACTACCACACCAGCACCAGCGTCAACAGCAGCGTCATCTACCACACCAGCGCCAGCGTCAACAGCAGCGCCAACTACCACACCAGCGCCACCTACAACAGCAGCGCCAACTACAACTACAGCATCAACTACCACACCAGCGTCAACAGCAGCGTCAACTACCACACCAGCACCACCTACAACTACAGCATCAACTACCACACCAGCACCACCTACAACTACAGCGTCAACTACCACACCAGCACCACCTACAACTACAGCGTCAACTACCACACCAGCACCACCTACAACTACAGCGTCAACTACCACACCAGCGTCAACAGCAGCGCCAACTACCACACAAGCGCCAACAGCAGTGACCACTAGCACTACGGCGCCAACTACCACAACAGTACCAACTAACACACCAGCGCCAGTGACAACTGCAGCGCCAAATACAACACCAGCACCATCTACAACACCAGCGCCAACTACAACTGCGGCGTCACCTACTACAGCAGTGCTATCACCAGAGCCAACGACTGCATCAGGATCTGCTAACACGGCAAAAGAATCAGCAACAACCTCTAACACCATCACCACCGCTTTACCCTACAGTACCTCAATCAGTACAGCAAGCACTACCACGTCTACAGCAACCGACACAAGCACTACCACGCCTACATTAATAGCCAACACCACGCCTATATCAGCCAACACAACAAGTACTACTACACCTACATTAATAGCCAACACAACAAGTACTACCACGCTTACACCAACCAACACATCCAACACTACCACGCCTACACCAACAACCACCAAAACCAGTGAGTCCACTACAGCAACACCAAACAACTCAGCTGTGTACAGGATGTCCAATCTTCTTCTCCTGACCCTCGCCCCTACCCTGGTCACTCTGATGTTTGGTGCCACGCCCTAGTTGACCCTACTCACATCTGCTGATAAACCTACCGACACCCGACCTTTTCCTGTCTTAAGTCTTTTAGCTCTTGTATTGATTAATACTATCAATGTACACAACGAAGTTCAGAGAAAATTAAAATTGTGGATTTGTCTCAGACAATAATTTATGAATGGGAAAGTTTGTTCAACTGTGCTGCCCGCCCACGGACTTTAGTTTGGACATTTATTTTATTTAATTAATAATTAATATTCAGATAATGGGACTTTATTTTGCAAGAGTATATATGGGTGAAAGGGGGGGGGGGGGTTGAGAACGTAACATGTAAACGTTTGTAAAAAGTTTCAATACGTTGTGACTTTTGTGTACTGTGTTGGATAATCGGGGAACCTTTTAATTTATTGCTATATCTTGTGTAATATTATAAAAATTATAGCAATATGAAAAAAAATGTTACAAACTCTGATTGTTATGGTGTTAATCTAATGCTTATAAGTTACTTGTGACCACAACAGTAGCAAAGCAGGTGGGGGGGGGAGGGGGGGGGACATATTTCCCCGGGCGCCGACCTTAGGGGGCGCCAAAATAGGTTGGAAAAATAAATTGAAAGGTTGAGGGGAGGGGGGGTGGAAATTGAAATCTTTAGGGGGGGGGGGAGGGGGGTTCAAATCGGAAAATTGAGGGAGGGGTGCAAATCGAAATCTTGAGGGGGGGGGGGGGGGTGCAAATCGAAAAGTTTGTCCCCGGGCGCCGGGAAGGGTCGCTACGCCACTGGACCACAATCCTTAAATCTTTTTTTGTTGACTTGTGTTTTATAGAATACGTTAGCTACAAACACAGTTTCATAATACATTATCTCAGAGGCGTAGAGGGGACAAACTTTCGATTTGCACCCCCCCCCCCCCCTTGAGATTTCAATTTGCACCCCCCCCCCCTCTCAAACTTTCAATTTCCACCCCCCTCAACCTTTCAATTTATTTTTCCAACCCATTTTGGCGCCCCCTAAGCTCGGCGCCCGGGGACATATGCCTCCCCCCTCGCTACGCTACTGCATTATCTAGGGAATTTCTGGATCCCTTTCAATTGATGGATAATAAAGTAATATTGTTCTTATTAAAAAAAGTAATTGAAAACCCTTGGGTACCTAGACTTACACAAAGACTAATGACTTGGAATTATCAAACCATCACCACAACTAAACATAATGCCCAATAGAGACAATGCTGGAGGTCATTGTCCTGCATGTAGTCAAGGTCACGACCTTCTCCTATGAGACCCACGTGATCAGGTATAAAAGCGAAACCCTTCCTTATAGGCACTGGTATAGACTTACGTAAGACTTATAGACACCGGTCTTAACTCATGCTAGCCCAAGCTTCACGGAATAACGGCTAGAGATATGTTAGGATTCAATGTGATTATGTAGCCTACATATTGTATGCCTCTGGTTTAGGTTTTTTAATTAAATATATTGCAACACCCGTTCAATTATTTATATGGACATTTTATATGTTATGTTTAGGTATGTTAAGGTTTATTGCTAGCTGAAAAATGTGTAGTGATTGGTCTAAAAATACTTTAAAATACGTCAACATATTATTTTAAACAAAATTAAAATGCGAAATATGTATCGCACTACAGCTGCGTATTCATTTCGTAGAATCACTGGAAAGAGAATTTTATATCGCTTAATTTACTGCTCAATGTTTGGTTCATATTGTATTTTGTCTCATATTTTGGTGAAATTGATGTTTAATTATCTCAAATATATGTCCTCATTAAAGAATACCCCATTCACATCAAACGCTGTGAGAGGTTTTATGGTTCTTGAGAGATCGATTGTATCGATATATTGGTTTGTCTGTGAACAAAGTCACACTCCTAAGGGGGGCATGGGGTGGGGTGGGGCGGCCGTCACAAATTTTCGTTTTCAGTTTCAAGTAAACCTACCTGCATTATATAATTTTCTTGCGAAGAGAAGCAACTCTTTTATTTCAAGCAAAAATCAATTATTCTTGGTAATTTCCCTTTACTAAAAACATTTTAAGGTAGATGTAAATAAAAGTAAAAGAATCCTCTTTAGACCTAGCGATTCATTGGGCAGATGTAGTAGAGTTCATGTTTCTTGACCTCGGCATGGTAAGGGAAGGTGTGGTCAGCATTTGGCCCAGCCGCATGGACTCATGGACGCTCTACTGTCTTGGATTCAAACTGGAGACCTTCAGGCTAGCAGCCTAGCGCTCTACCGCTTGGGCCGCGCCGTGCTATCTGTGCGAGCGTCACTGCCTTATGGCAAGTCGATGTTAAAACCACTTAGTGGAATCTTAGGCCGTATGGCAAGTCGATGTTAAAACCACTTAGTCGAATCTTAGGCCGTATGGCAAGTCGATGTTAAAACCACTTAGTCGAATCTTAGGCCGTATGGCAAGTCGATGTTAAAACCACTTAGTCGAATCTTAGGCCGTATGGCAAGTCGATGTTAAAACCACTTAGTCGAATCTTAGGCCTTATGGTAAGTCGATGTTAAAACCACTTAGTCGAATCTTAGGCCTTATGGCAAGTCGATGTTAAAACCACTTAGTGGAATCTTAGGCCTTATGGCAAGTCGATGTTAAAACCACTTAGTCGAATCTTAGGCCTTATGGTAAGTCGATGTTAAAACCACTTAGTCGAATCTTAGGCCTTATGGCAAGTCGATGTTAAAACCACTTAGTCGAATCTTAGGCCTTATGGTAAGTCGATGTTAAAACCACTTAGTCGAATCTTAGGCCTTATGGTAAGTCGATGTTAAAACCACTTAGTCGAATCTTAGGTGGTGCATCGTTTAAAAAGTACACATTTTATACCGCACCAAGAGAGAGAGAGCGAGAGAAAGAGAGAGCGAGAGAGAGAGAGAGAGAGAGAGAGAGAGAGAGAGAGAGAGAGAGAGAGAGAGAGAGAGCGATGTCTTATAAATAGTGTTTGTGTTATAAACATTAAATAATTGTAAAAGAAGTTAGTTTAAACCAGTGGTTCTTAACATTTTAAATTCCATTTTAATTAGAAATGACCGAAAGACATTTACAATGTTAAATAATAGTAACTATTCTGCTAAAAATGCACCAGTTCAATCACACTATAAAATATTCACAAGCAATTTGTGGAAAGCTCTAACTTCAAACCAAAAAGGGCCGCTCAACTGCCATTTCTACCTTCGAACGTAGTGCACCTCATAGCATTGAGTTCTTTTTATGGGATAACCCGGGATCGAGGTTTCACAATGCTCGTTTTTATGTGTCTTAAACCGCTTAAACCCCGCCTCCTCCAACCCTTGCATGGCCTTGAGTCTAGGCAATAGATAGTTCCGGCCACTGGCCACCACGTGATACTCCACCAGGAACTGGCGGACGTCGGTCAATTGACCACTGGCTAACATTTCAGGAATCGCCTCCCACTCAGACCATTCGATGTCCATCTTGATGACGTCGATGGTTTGGTTCTGATGGCCAAGCATTTTTCTAATGTCGCCGTGAGTGTAAAGTTTCCAGTTGTTTTTGCGTACCGTTTGCGTCTCGCCGCCCAGGCCGATCTTGTAGAAAAGGACCAGCGCTGACCTACAAGAGGGATACTGAGGATCATTAATTTTGATATTCCAATTGACTAATTACGACGGGCTCATTCTGCATCTGGGGTATTTTGAAAATCTTTGTTCCTCTATTAATTTTTAGATCTTTTCCATATAAGCCCAGCCACTAATGCAAAAAGTGCACAGGCGAAAAGTTTAGCCCCCGCCTTTTTTTGCAAACTCCACTTTAACGCACTCACGCAGCCTTGGCCTAGTTCTGATGTCTGGAAATTTGAATATTTAACTACTAACCTAACCTAACCTAACCTAACCTAACCTAACCTAACCTAACCTAACCTAACCTAACCTAACCTAACCTAACCTAACCTAACCTAACCTAACCTAAACTAACCTAACCTAACCTAACCTAACCTAACCTAACCTAACCTAACCTAACCTAACCTAACCTAACCTAACCTAACCTAACTTAACCTAACCTAAGCTAACCTAACCTAACCTAACCAAACTAACCTAACCTAAACTAACCTAACCTAACCTAACCTAACCTAACCTAACCTAACCTAACCTAACCTAACCTAACCTAACCTAACCTAACCTAACCTAACCTAACCAAACTAACCTAACCTAACCTAACCTAACCTAACCTAACCTAACCTAACCTAACCTAACCTAACCTAACCTAACCTAACCTAACCTAACCTAACCTGACCTAACCTAACCTAACCTAACCTAACCTAACGTAACCTAACCAACCTAACCTAACTTAACCTGACCTGACCTGACCTGACCTGACCTGATCTGACCTGACCTGACCTGACCTAATATGACCTTACCTTTTGACCTTGTACGCCCACTTGATCATGCTGGGATCAAATGAGAACACGTGACACCCGTAAAGCTTGGCTGCGTCGTCGTCAAACGAGAACTCGTAGTTGATGCCGTAGGAGTAGATGATGCACGGGTCCTTGGGGCGGACGTCCGGGTCGTCACAAATATCCCAGCCAGCGTTTCCCAGTTTACCCAGTCGAATTACTCTCTCACACAATGTCTGAAGGTACACAAGTCAAACAAGAAATAATTATCATTAAAATATTTAAAAAAAAAACCCCACGTTTTCCCCTTGAACTAAAAAGTAAAGAGGGAAAGTACTGAACCTTGTTTTTATCGAATTACAATTACTAGATTATGTCCCGTTTTTGTACAAATCAATAAGGGTTTAAATGATCAATAACATTTTTCCACGGATCAATATAGTAATAATAATAATTGAATATTGTATTGTCATCGAAAACAAAGCTTCCCTGAAAATTTCAGCGCGCTAGCTAACTGGAAAGTGCCCGAAATTTCGATCGCAAGATTTGATGGAAAGACAAACAGACGCGAAAGCAAGTTAAAGAAAACGTGGGAAAAAATATTTACGTTGTTGTTTACCCAGTCGAATTACTCTCTCACACAGTGTCTGAAGGTAAACAAGTCCAAGAAGAAAAATATTTACGTCGTTGTTTACCCAGTCGAATTACTCTCTCACACAGTGTCTGAAGGTAAACAAGTCCAAGAAGAAAAATATTTACGTTGTTGTTTACCCAGTCGAATTACTCTCTCACACAGTGTCTGAAGGTAAACAAGTCCAAGAAGAAAAATATTTACGTTGTTGTTTACCCAGTCGAATTACTCTCTCACACAGGGTCTGAAGGTAAAGAAGTTCAACCAAAAAATATTTACGTTGTTGTTTACCCAGTCGAATTACTCTCTCACACAGTGTCTGAAGGTAAACAAGTCAAACTAGAAAAATATTTACGTCGTTCTGATCTATTAAGACGTTTCATGCAGTGATGGTAGTAAGATGATGGTGATGTCAGGAAATTGGTGGAATTATGGTAATAGAGTGCTAGTAGTAGGATGATGGTACTTTGGTGATGGTAGTAGGTTGGAGGTAGTGAGTTGATGGTACTTTGGTGATGGTAGTAGGTTGGAGGTAGTGAGTTGATGGTACTTTGGTGATGGTAGTAGGTTGGAGGTAGTGAGTTGATGGTACTTTGGTGATGGTAGTAGGTTGATGGTACTTGGGTGTAGGTGGTGGGGTGATGGTAGTAGGTTGATGGTACTTTGGTGATGGTAGTAGGTTGATGGTACTTGGGTGTAGGTAGTGGGGTGATGGTAGTGGGGTGATGGTAGTGGGGTGATGGTAGTGGGGTGATGGTAGTGGGGTGATGGTACTTGGTAGATGGTAGTATGTTGATGGTAGTAGACTTACATCGATGTTGTCTGGGTAACTGTGGATGGTCATCAACATTTCCTGTGTCGTCATGTTCTCCAGGTTTATCCCAAGCAGAGACTTTACCCGGCCACTTCTACGTATAATGGCCAATGGATCTAATGGTTTAAAAAGGCAACAAAATAGTACGATATATCTATTCACAAAATAATAATACAATATAAATAAACCGGGAGTGATCTCCCCTAAACTTTCTCGAATATTCTTATATAAAATAACAGGGGATGGGAACTCGGGCTATAGACATGATTTTTAATCCATTTTAAATACTTAAAGTTTTAAAAATAGAATAAAATCTCGTAGACAAATTAATTGCACACCATGTGAAAGCCAAAAAAAAAAGCGCATAATAGTGCGCAATATTATTAGTACTTTTAAAATTTACATTAGTTTTTTGAGAAATCGGAAGTAGCGTAAATTACTACTTCCGGTCAACAGAAATTATTCAAAATTTAACAGAAGGTAGAGAATTTGATTTTATACTTACGTGTGAAATTTCATTTATCTATCTGAAATAGTACTCAAGTTATAGGCTTTTGAAAAATTCAAAGTAGGAAAGTACCACTTCCGGTTATCGGAATTCGCTCAAAAGTTGATACGGATCTACGATTTTGATAAAATACTTATATATGAAATTTCATCAACCTAGCTGTAACGGTACTCAAGTAATCGTGTTTACACACAGACAGACAGACAGACAGACACACAGACATACGGACAAGATTGCAAAATTATGTTTTTCCGTATCAGTGAGGTGTAAAACGTCGAGATTTGCAAAAATCTCGATTTTCTTTGCACGATTACAAGACTTTCTCTATACTTCGTATATACGAGAAAGTAAAAGGCATCAGTAAATAAGTAAACACATTCAAAACATAAACAAACAACATTCACAACATGAACCAAAATATGCACAATATAAACATATTCACAATATAAACAAATTCATAACATAAACAAACTAAAAAAAAATTAAACAAACAAATTCACTACATAAACACATTCTGAACCAAAACTAAACATTGGTTTTATGAGTAGAACTTTACCCTTGCTGTAGTCTCGATGTTCGACTTGGTTTTGATTTTTGTATTCTTGATGTTGGACTTGTCTTTGATCATTTCGTTCGACAGGCATTTCTATTCAAAATATTTAGACGTATTGATTAATTGGATTATATATATATATATATATATATATATATATATATATATATATATATATATATATATATATATATATATATATATATATATATAAAATCATATATATGTTGGTGTTTTAATGTAACTATATATATATATATATATATATATATATATATATATATATATATATATATATATATATATATATATATATATATATATATATATATATATATATATATATATATATATATATATACACATATATATATATATATATATATATATATATATATATATATATATATATATATATATATATATATATATATATATATATATATATATATATATATATATATATATATATATATATATATATATATATATATATACTAGCTGCATCCCGTGCTCCGCCACGGTAAATCTTTTTTAAATGTACCAACTTGGGAACAGAACAAAACTAAACACAACACAAACGAACGCAAAAAAAAAACCAAAAAAAAAAACGAAAAAACAAACACAACACTCATAACATAAACACAATTTAAATGCAATCATACAGGCATATTGCTCACAGTCTAGCCCGTAGTGCCAAATCGCGCCCTTACCGGTGATTTGCACCCCCCTTAAACTTTCGATTTGCACCCCTTCCCCCCCCCCCGCCCTAAAACTTTCGATTTCCACCACCCCCCCCCCCCCCTTGCAAATTTTTTCCAACCCACTTTGGCGCCCCCTAAGGTCGGCACCAGGGGACATATGCCCTCCCTCGCTACGCCTCTCCTATAAAACCCGAAAGATAGAATAATAATTAGAAATCAGCATAAATAATAGGCAGTATTTAAAATATCCGTATTTTACCTACAATATTTCACTTTATCCATTCACGCATTTTTTTCCAGTAGGCCTACTTTGAATTTTAAAAATTTACAATAGAGTTTCATAACTAAAACCATTGCGCACCTAATGAACGTGATGACGCGTCTATAATAGTGCTGAATAGTTGATTAAAAATTATAAGTAATAAACGGTAGGGCCTACATTCAGTGAATAAAATAAATAAAAGATTGCCTTTTATCAATCCATGCTAATTATAATTTTCTAACTATAATTTCCTCTTACACATCCGAATAATTTGCATTCACATTTTGCTAATTATATTATTGCAACACTAATTCCTTCTATGATGAACGTATATTTGCATTCACATTTTTGATTAGCGTGAGTTTAATGTATTTTAAATTACCTCCTTTGTCAAAATTAGAAAAGAGTTAAATTAATTTGATTTTTCTACCGTACTGTTATTATGTTATTAAAATGTATCCACTTTTTCTAGGAATATAAACGAAAACTATATTTGACATTGATCCTTTTAATATGTTTTAGCAATGTGCGTGTATTTAATATTCCCTTTACGTTATGCAAAATTGTACAAACAGTGGAAATTATAAAATAGTTCTATGCCGCTATATAAATAAACCCTACTCTAATACTTATAATAAGACACTGCGGTGCACTGAAAAGCACAGCATGGTGCGAATGTTTACTTTTATGGTTCCAAAACCTATAGCGATGACAGAAGGAAGGAAGGACTGACACACTACTTGCCCGCTTATATTGTAGACTAGCTGCATCCCGTGCTCCGCCACGGTAAATCATTTTTAAATGTAACAACTTGGGAACAGAACAAAACTAAACACAACACAAACGAACGCAAAAAAAAAAAAAAAAAAAAAAAAAAAAAAAAAACGAAAAAACAAAAACAACACTCATAACATAAACACAATTTAAATGCAATCATACAGGCATATTGCTCACAGTCTAGCCCGTAGCGCCAAATCGCGCCCTTTCCGGTGATTTGCACCCCCCTCAAACTTTCGATTTGCACCCCTTCCCCCCCCCCGCCCTAAAACTTTAAATTTCCACCACCCCCCACCCCCCTCGCAAATTTTTTCCAACCCACTTTGGCGCCCCTTAAGGTCGGCACCCGGGGACATATGCCGCCCCCCCCCGCTACGCCTCTCCTATAAAACCCGAAAGATAGAATAATAATTAGTAAACAGTATAAATAATAGGCAGTATTTAAAATATCCGTGTTTTACCTACAATATTTCACTTTATCCATTCACGCATTTTTTTCCATTACTTTAAATTTTAAAAATTTACAATAGAGTTTCATAACTAAAACCATTGCGCACCTAATGAACGTGATGACGTGTCTATAATACTGCTGAATAGTTGATTAAAAATTATAAGTAATAAACAGTAGGGCCTACATTCAGTGAATAAAATACATAAAAGATTGCCTTTTATCAATCCATGCTAATTATAATTTTCTAACAATAATTTCCTCTTACACATCCGAATAATTTGCATTCACATTTTGCTAATTATATTATTGCAACACTAATTCCTTCTATGACGAACGTATATTTGCATTCACATTTTTTATTAGCGTGAGTTTAAATGTATTTTTAAATTACCTCCTTTGTCAAAATTAGAAAAGAGTTAAATTAATTTGATTTTTCTACCGTACTGTTATTATGTTATTAAAATGTATCCACTTTTTCTAGGAATATAAACGAAAATGATATTTGACATTGATCCTTTTAATACGTTTTAGCAATGTGCGTGTATTTAATATTTTCTTTAGGTTATGCAAAAGAGTAAACACAGTGGCTATTATAAAATAGCTCTATGCCGCTATATAAACAAACCCTACTCTAATACTTATAATAAGACACTGCGGTGCACTGAAAAGCACAGCATGGTGCGAATGTTTACTTTTATGGTTCCAAAAGCTATAGCGATGACGGAAGGAAGGAAGGAAGGAAGGAAGGAAGGAAGGAAGGACTGACACACTACCAGCAGCGTTATATTATAGATATATATATATGTATATATATATATATCTATAATATAAGCGGGCTGTGTCTGTCCTTCCTTCCTTCCTTCCGTCCGTCATCGCTATAGATTTTGGGACTATAAAAGTAAACTACGCACCATGCTGTGCTTTTCAGTGCACCGCAGTGTCTTATTATAAGTATTAGAGTAGGGTTTGTTTATATAGCGGCATAGAGCTATTTTATAATTTCCACTGTTTGTACTCTTTCGCATAACGTAAAGAAAATATTAAATACACGCACATTGCTAAAACATATTAAAAGGATCAATGTCAAATATCATTTTGGTTTATATTCCCAGAAAAAGTGGATACATTTTAATAACATAATAACAGTACAGTAGAAAAATCAAATTAATTTAACTCTTTTCTAATTTTGACAAAGGAGGTAATTTAAAATACATTAAACTCACGCTAATAAAAAATGTGAATGCAAATATACGTTCGTCATAGAAGGAATTAGTGTTGCAATAATATAATTAGCAAAATGTGAATGCAAATTATTCGGATGTGTAAGAGGGAAATTATTGTTAGAAAATTATAATTAGCATGGATTGAGAAAAGGCAATCTTTTATTTATTTTATTCACTGAATGTAGGCCCTACTGTTTATTACTTATAATTTTTAATCAACTATTCAGCACTATTATAGACGCGTCATCACGTTCATTAGGTGCGCAATGGTTTTAGTTATGAAACTCTATTGTAAATTTTTAAAATTTAAAGTACTGGAAAAAAAATGCGTGAATGGATAAAGTGAAATATTGTATATATTATAGATACTGCCTATTATTTATACTGTTTTCTAATTATTATTCTATCTTTCGGGTTTTATAGGAGAGGCGTAGTGAGGGGGGGGGGCATATTTCCCCGGGTGCCGACCTTAGGGGGCGCCAAAGTGGGTTGGAAAAAATTTGCGAGGGGGGGGGGGGGAGTGGTGGAAATCGAAAGTTTTAGGGCGGGGGGGGGGGGGGGAAGGGGTGCAAATCGAAAGTTTGAGGGGGGTGCAAATCACCGGAAAGGGCGCGATTTGGCGCTACGGGCTAGACTGTGAGCAATATGCCTTTATGATTGCATTTAAATTGTGTTTATGTTATGAGTGTTGTGTTTGTTTTTTCGTTTTTTTTTTTGTTTTTTTTGCGTTCGTTTGTGTTGTGTTTAGTTTTGTTCTGTTGGTACATTTAAAAAAGATTTACCGTGGCGGAGCACGGGATGCAGCTAGTATATATATATATATATATATATATATATATATATATATATATATATATATATATATATATATAGTTACATTAAAACACCAACACAACACATTATTATGTCTTAACATCACAAAATCATCACACCGCAACATCATCATATCATCACACTGCAACATCATCACACGAACATCACCATATTCCAACATCAACACACCATGGCATCGTCATCTCCAGAAATCACATCACATAATTTTCACACAACCACATCATCACATCACAACATTAAATCATAACACTCCGCTACAACATCACCAACTTCAGACCACAACATCACTGCACCACATCACCACACCACTAAGGTCTAACAAACACAAAACCACTGTTTTCCCACCATTCCTACCTTGACCTCCAGCATAAAAAGTGTTGATGTTAGCCAGTGGTCCAGACGGCCTCACCCTCTCTATAGCAAGTATAATAAGGGCAACAACACACAGAATGACTAAACAACAACGAAAATGTTTCATCGGTGGAGTAGGATAAAGTTCAGGAATTTAGCAACTGTAACATAAATAGTAGAGATTATTATAAAACAAGCAACCATGAAAGTTAAGATTAAACTTGCAACAAAACTTGCAAAAGAAAAAAAAACGTGTTACCCCAACTGGACAATAACCCCAGCTGGACAATAACCCCACCTAGACAATAACCCCTTGGACAATAACCCCACCTGGACAATAACCCCAGCTGGACAATGACCCCTTGGACAATAACCCCAACTGGACAATAACCCCTTGGACAATAACCCCAGCTGGACAATGACCCCTTGGACAATAACCCCAACTGGACAATGACCCCTTGGACAATAACCCCAACTGGACAATAACCCCAGCTGGACAATGACCCCTTGGACAATAACCCCACATGGACAATAACCCCACCTGGACAATAACCCCAGCTGGACAATAACCCCAGCTGGACAATGACCCCTTGGACAATAACCCCAGCTGGACAATGACCCCAGCTGGACAATGACCCCTTGGACAATAACCCCAGCTGGACAATAACCCCAGCTGGACAATAACCCCAGCTGGACAATGACCCCAGCTGGACAATGACCCCTTGGACAATAACCCCAGCTGGACAATAACCCCAGCTGGACAATAACCCCACCTGGACAATAACCCCTTGGACAATAACCCCAGCTAGACAATAACCCCAGCTGGACAATAACCCCAGCTGGACAATGACCCCTTGGACAATAACCCCTTGGACAATAACACCAGCTGGACAATAACCCCTTGGACAATAACCCCAGCTGGACAATAACCCCTTGGACAATAACCCCAGCTGGACAATAACCCCTTGGACAATAACCCCTTGGACAATAACCCCAGCTGGACAATAACGCCTTGGACAATAACCCCAGCTGGACAATAACCCCTTGGACAATAACCCCTTGGACAATAACCCCTTGGACAATAACACCAGCTGGACAATAACCCCAGCTGGACAATAACCCCTTGGACAATAACCCCTTGGACAATAACACCAGCTGGACAATAACACCAGCTCGACAATAACCCCTTGGACAATAACCCCAGCTGGACAATAACCCCTTGGACAATAACCCCAGCTGGACAATAACCCCTTGGACAATAACCCCTTGGACAATAACCCCAGCTGGACAATAACCCCTTGGACAATAACCCCAGCTGGACAATAACCCCTTGGACAATAACCCCTTGGACAATAACCCCTTGGACAATAACACCAGCTGGACAATAACCCCAGCTGGACAATGACCCCTTGGACAATAACCCCTTGGACAATAACACCAGCTAGACAATGACCCCTTGGACAATAACCCCAGCTAGACAATAACCCCAGCTAGACAATAACCCCAGCTGGACAATAACCCAAGCTGGACAATAACCCCAGCTGGACAATAACCCCTTGGACAATAACTCTAGCTGGACAATAACCCCATCTGGACAATAACCCCTTAGAATAATTTACACTTTATTGATAAACCTTTCGTCTGTCTTCTCAATGTAGCTTACATAACAAAAGGCGACCGTAATTTTTTTCATAATCCAACGTCATACCTTGATGGAAAGTTTGTAATTGCTAATTACGAGACATGCAATATAGGAATTAATTAGTGTTTGATCTTACATGGTTATTGATATAGATCGTGTCTGACATAACATTTTGACCCGCAGTGTGAGCAAAGTAGGAAGTAGATATAGAGATTAGATTTCTTATGTTTCCGCTAGCACTAGTGCACACCTCCTCTAGCACTAGTGCACACCTCCCATAAATCAAATGTGCAAACCCCATTGCTCTAGTTCACAACTCCCCTAGCACTAGTCCACGCTCCCCCTAACACTAGTCCACACCACCCCTAACACTAGTCCACACCTCCTCTAGCACTAGTCCACACCTCCCCTAGCACTAGTCCACACCTCCCCTAGCACTAGTCCACACCTCCTCTAGCACTAGTCCACCCCTCCCCTAGCACTAGTCCACACCTCCCCTAGCACTAGTCCACACCTCCCCTAGCACTAGTCCACACCTCCCTTAGCACTAGTCCTTACCTCCCTTAGCACTAGTCCACACCTCCCGTAGCACTAGTCCACTTCTCCCCTAACACTAGTCCACAATTCCCACCAGTCCACACTTTCCCTAGCACTAGTCCACACCTCCCCTAGCACTAGTCCACACCTCCCCTAGCACTAGTCCACACCTCCTCTAGCACTAGTCCATCCCTCCCCTAGCACTAGTCCACACCTCCCCTAGCACTAGTCCACACCTCCTCTAGCACTAGTCCACCCCTCCCCTAGCACTAGTCCACACCTCCCCTAGCACTAGTCCACACCTCCTCTAGCACTAGTCCACCCCTCCCCTAGCACTAGTCCACACCTCCCCTAGCACTAGTCCACACCTCCTCTAGCACTAGTCCACCCCTCCCCTAGCACTAGTCCACCCCTCCCCTAGCACTAGTCCACACCTCCCCTAGCACTAGTCCACACCTCCTCTAGCACTAGTGCACACCTCCTCTAGCACTCGTTTACACCTCCAATAAAACAAATGTGCAAACCCCATAGCTCTAGTTCAAAACTCCCCTAGCACTAGTCCACACCTCCCCTAGCACTAGTCCACGCTCCCCCTATAACTAGTCCACACCTCCCCTAGCATTGGTCCACGCTCCCCCTATAACTAGTCCACACCTCCCCTAACACTAGTCCACACCTCCCCTAGCATTGGTCCACGCTCCCCCTATAACTAGTCCACACCTCCCCTAACACTAGTCCACACCTCCCCTAGCATTGGTCCACGCTCCCCCTATAACTAGTCCACACCTCCCCTAACACTAGTCCACACCTCCCCTAGCATTGGTCCACGCTCCCCCTATAACTAGTCCACACCTCCCCTAGCATTGGTCCACGCTCCCCCTATAACTAGTCCACACCTCCCCTAACACTAGTCCACACCTCCCCTAGCATTGGTCCACGCTCCCCCTATAACTAGTCCACACCTCCCCTAACACTAGTCCACACCTCCCCTAGCATTGGTCCACGCTCCCCCTATAACTAGTCCACACCTCCCCTAACACTAGTCCACACCTCCCCTAGCATTGGTCCACGCTCCCCCTATAACTAGTCCACACCTCCCCTAACACTAGTCCACACCTCCCCTAGCATTGGTCCACGCTCCCCCTATAACTAGTCCACACCTCCCCTAGCACTAGTCCACACCTCCCCTAACACTAGTCCACACCTCCCTTAGCACTAGTTAACCCCTCCCATCGTGGAAACAGCTGAGGTAAAAATACCTTGTTCGGCATGTGCCAACTTTCCGTCTGACAAATAATTTCGATGAGTCAGGTTTCATGTAAAGGCTTCAGTTAAAAGGTCATCGTGACCAAAACTGCTCTGAAATTCTGCAGGTACGTAATTAGAAAATTAGCTTAATATTAAATGCCTGCCTGTCTAAACACAACAAAACATCTTTAGCCTGATGAAAGTTAGATATTCTAATTTGCTGAGACAAAGGCATATAATTATCATTCTGTACAACACAAGTTCCTATAAAGCGCCCTAACATTCAACAGTCACTAAACCTGCTTCATACAACACGAGACAACTACATCCGGAATTGTTGTAAGTATACAACAGCAACTTTAACTATTTATTTTTTCCTTATGCAATACATTACTTTAAAAAAATTCATAAAAAAACGTTTTAATAACAAGCTTTTGTGTAATAATGCACTAGTAGAAAATAAAATGCTATTTAAATAACTATTAAGAAAAGCGTGGGTCACTTTAGTATATATTGGATACCTTTATTTATATTTAGTAAAAGACCCACGCTTTTCTTTATAGTTATTTAAACAGTAGATCTAGTGTATAATTTAGTTTCTACATTTTAGTGCATTATTACATAAAAACTTGTTATTAAAACGTTTTTTAAGAATTGTTTTTTTCAGTACTTTAAATTTAAAAAAAAATTAACAATAGAGTTGCATGACTAAAAACCATTGCGCACCTAATGAACGTGAAAGCGCGTATAATAGTGCGGAATAGTTTAGTAAGACAGCCTACTAATTTGGACACAATTTTTATTAATTCATTAAAAAATTAATTAGGCATCCAATGAAGCCAAATTTAATGTCAGATTACATTGTCTTCATGTCTTGACCTCCGTGCCAACATTGAACCGAATCTATCAGAAGTGCCCGAAATTTCGCTCGGTCCTTTCAATCTAGACTGACGACTGACCGACGACTAATGACAGAAGCGGAAGTAAGTTAAATAAAAGCTTGTAAAAATATTTATTTCCTACTTACTACAATGTTGAAGTAGTCTTGTACTGAACTCTCTATTCTGTTTAATTAAAATTGATACAATTCACCACATAACCGCAAATTAACACGCTAATTGTAAGTTTGTTGAAAAGCGTGGCTACAGTCGTGTTACTTGTTTGTGAATGGTATTTTAGTGTAAAGAATGGGTATGAGAGTATGTGTGTAGTGGAATGTTTTATATTAATAAAAGATGTTGAATGTGACGAGGCAAGTAAGGATGTGAGTATGAGAGTATGATTTGGTTGTTTTGTGAAGGAGTTTATTCAGTCTTGGTCTTGTCGCCTGAGGGTTTGGATGTCTTTGTCCGTCTTTGTCCAGTCGTGTACAATGTATGCAATTAAACTGTGAAAGGAATCAACGCCGTTCTGTTTAGTGATTTCGGAATGATATTGGATCTTTGTGCGTTGTCCTTCGACGTTATTATTGAACATTATCGAAAGATTTTAAATCGTTGTATTAGTTAAAATTAATAGAAGTGAAATGTCCTGGTCGAGAGATAGGACAGTCCTGTGTCCTGTGTCCTCTAATGATCTGATCAAGTTATACAGCTTAGACGTAGTGTTGATCACACTACATATTCTTATGCTAGAATCACATGAACTCTACTTCATCTGTCACACACATGCACATCGTTTAAATGGAAGCTATTAATATTTCTGATTTATTAAAAATATAGTTTTAATATTACATGTAAAAGTGTTAAAAACAAAATTATTTTCATTGTTTTAAGCTATACAATCATAATCAAATGATTGTTACAAACTTGGGTTAAAGTCACACGGAAGATTTATGTATAGTTGATCTGGTTAGATATAGATCTATAACGGTTTTCCTATTCGCTGTTTTTAAATATTTGTTTCATATGCAAAAGCTGTGTGACTGATTGTTTCATGTTTCCACTGAGCTGTGTCCAGTTGTTTCACATTTCAGCTAAATTGTGTAAGATTGTTGATGGTTGTTCTACGTTGCGGCTAAGATGTGTAAGGTTGTTGATGGTTGTTCTACGTTGTGGCTAAGATGTGTAAGCTTGTTCTTGATCGTTTCAGATTTCAGCAAAGATGAAACTTGTAATGCTGTTCCTGTGTCTGGCTGTTTTTGTGGATGCGGTATCTGCTGAGCCGAGTGCTAGATCTCTGGTAGGTTTTTAAAAACTTTTTATTCATGTTTTGAGTACACACTTTTATTATACAGATAAATAGATGGTCTGATGGCTTACGGGCTGTTTAAACAGATTCTGTAATAATTTAAAGAAAATTAGATGTTTACCAGCAAGAGCTTACAAAAATGTCTTCATAAAATAAAATATAATTTTATATTTGTTTTTTAAGACTGAAAGAGAATTGGGCTATGGAGATGACTTGAGTGATGACGGCAGTGAGAAATTCACAACTCCAGGAGATGTAGATGTGGATGGATTTCTGCGAAAAATTAACTAGATAGAAAAATTTCTTCACAGTACTTGAAGAAATAAATAAATAATAAAAAAAACACACGTATTTGTTTGTTTTGTAAAATAATTTTTTATTGCATTAAATCTTTAATTTATTAATAATATTTATATTTAAGAAAAAATCCAAACGCGCTGAAAAGAGTGTTTAGAAAATATGATCAAATTGACGATTGTTCGTGGACGGTGTGGTCGGGTGGGCAACAGCATGACTGCCAACCCAGAAGTTTCGATTTCAGACCCCCTGGCAGAAAAGTCAGTAGACCTTCGCTGAGTCCACCCAGCTCTGATGGGTACCTAATTCACGTAGGGGAGAGTAAAGGCGGCTGGGCATAGAACTGACCACACTATCTCTTCATATGCCGAGGTCACAGAAACAGATAAACTCTACTTCACTTGCCCCATAGACCGTCATGTTTGGAGGGTGAACTTTACCCAGACCGAAACATCAAAATCAATCAATCGCTGCCGTGAAGATTGATATTGGATGAACCATGGCTATGGCGGCAATAACATGAGCACATCAGGCTGAACTTGGAACTAACAGGTCGTAAGGAGCATAGCATGTTGATAAGCAGTCAGTGGTGGACTGGTCCAACGGTTTAACGGGGAAACCCCGGTGGGCCCAAGAAAAAAATCACGATGATTCCGTGGAAAAATCCTGGGGGCCCCAGGTAAAAATCCTGGTGGGCCCTCATGTAAAGATCCTGGTGTGCCCCTGGTAAAGATCCTGTTGGGCCTCTGGTAAAGATCCTGTTAAGCCCCTGGTAAAGATCCTGGTGGGCCCCCAGGTGAAGATCCCGGTGGGCCCCTGGTAAAGATCCTGGTGGGCCCCCAGGTAAAGATCCTGGTGGGCCCCCAGGTGAAGATCCCGGTGGGCCCCTGGTAAAGATCCTGGTGGGCCCCCAGGTAAAGATCCTGGTGGGCCCTCAGGTAAAGATCCTGGTGGGCCCTCAGGTAAAGATCCTGGTGGGCCCTCAGGTAAAGATCCTGGTGGGCCCTCAGGTAAAGATCCTGGTGGGCCCTCAGGTAAAGATCCCGGTGGGCCCCTGGTAAAGATCCTGGTGGGCCCCCAGGTGAAGATCCCGGTGGGCCCCTGGTAAAGATCCTGGTGGGCCCCCAGGTGAAGATCCCGGTGGGCCCCTGGTAAAGATCCTGGTGGGCCCCCAGGTAAAGATCCTGGTGGGCCCTCAGGTAAAGATCCTGGTGGGCCCTCAGGTAAAGATCCTGGTGGGCCCTCAGGTAAAGATCCTGGTGGGCCCTCAGGTAAAGATCCTGGTGGGCCCTCAGGTAAAGATCCTGGTGGGCCCTCAGGTAAAGATCCTGGTGGGCCCCAGGTAAAGATCCTGGTGGGCCCCCAGGTAAAGATCCTGTTGGGCACCCAGGTAAAGATCCTGGTGGGCCCTCAGGTAAAGATCCTGGTGGGCCCCAGGAAAAGATCCTGGTGGGCCCCCAGGTAAAGATCCTGGTGGGTCCCTCGGTAAAGATCCTGGTGGGTCACGCACACAGACACGCACACCTACACATATTCATAATCACACCAACACGCACACCCTCACACCCACCAACAACATCACTCCCACATACCCTGACACCCCCCCCCCCCCACACACACACAATGTTTTCTGTACATTATTCTACACAGGTTGTTGAATTAAAACTTTGAGTCTAATATCTGTAGTTTATCTGAGGCTCCCTGTAACAGATATATTACTAAAGTATGGGGTCTACATTTGGCAACAGGTTTTATTTTAATGAGCCAGGTATTAATCAACATCACAACACTGGAACATTCTCTCCCACAATTTTTCGTGCCTTTAATTAGAATAATCATGCAGTTATGGAAAACTTTTGATTGCTGATATGGAAAAATAGGAATTAATTATAATGTAATTTGTCATAATTATTTCCATGTTTGCTTCAAATATCCGCCTAATTCAATGAGTAATTTGCATGAATCCTTTAATAAAGGGAAATAAGTAATCTAATAGGACATCTAAGGTAGTTCTGTTGTCTCTGTAACATGGATATATTAAAAATACTTTGTCAGTTCTAAGCCCTATCAGTTTTCTGTAACTTCAAACAATCCTGGGTCGACTTAAAATAACCAAACAAACAACTTAATCTACTTATCCAGTAACCTCAAACTGTTTATGTACAGGAATTATATTATTTAACAAAGGCTGGTTTTTCAAAGGTTTTACAGTAAAGCGCCTTAAGGAGAAATTTAAAAAGTTTTTAGGGGTCGTCCACAAATGACGTCATACTCGTAGGTGGGAGGGGAGGGGTCTGTAATTTTGTGACGGTGTGTGATGAGGGGGAGGGGGGTTCAGATTGTGCGACGTCACACTTTTGCATTATAAAAAAGCATTGTAAGAAAACGAATATAAGACGTTATTTCGCGTTTTAGAAAACTGTTTTAATAAATTGTAATAGGAAATGATTAAAATACTCTATTGTGACCGAGTTCAGAGAAGATTAAAAAAATAAATAAATTCAACTGCAATTTTGAGGAGGGGGGGTTGTAGGCTGAGGTGTGACGTCATTTTAGGGGGGGGGGGTCTGGCTTTTTGTGACGATATGTGACGGAGGGGGGGGGAGGAGGTAAAAATCGTCACAAAAGCGTGACGTCATTTGTGGATGACACCCTTATAATAATGTTCTATGAAATGGGATTTTGTTTTAGATTTACATTAAGCCTTCAGATTTGATTTTTAAAGAGACATACGAATTTGCTAAATCTATTTCTTATGAGATAGCAGCTACTTTGCAAGTAGTGTCTTTGTATACACACATTGTGTATTAAAGCTATTTTAATACATACAGTAACGTTTATCTACAGACCAAGCGATCTATTGGGAAGATGTAGAGTTCATACGGTTCTTAACCTCGGTGTATTAAAGGATGGTGTGGTCAGTACTATGCCCAGCCGCCTATAGTTTACCCAACATGAGTCTGTTACCTTGAGATTTGAGTGGACTCAGGGACATCCCACAGTCGCAAGTCCGATAAGAGATCCGAACTTTTGATCTTACGACGAGCAACCCAACGCTCTATGATTCGACCACGTCGTCCCAAATATACAACATACATACAACTGTATATTTTTTATTTAATTTTATAGACTGTACATTTATCAGAGCTTTTCTTCCCCCAATTCCTATTCCTCGCTTCCTCTTAATCTAGTCCACACCTCCCCTAGCACTAGACCACACCTCCCCTAGCACTAGTCCACACCTCCCCTAGCACTAGTCCACACCTCCCCTAGCACTAGTCCACACCTCCCCTAGCACTAGTCCACACCTTCACTAGCACTAGCCCACACCTCCCCTAGCACTAGTCCACACCTCCCCTAGCACTAGTCCACACCTCCCCTAGCACTAGTCCACACCTCCCTTAGCACTAGTCCACACCTCCCCTAGCACTAGTCCACACCTCCCCTAGCACTAGCCCACACCTCCCCTAGCACTAGTCCACACCTCCCCTAGCACTAGTCCACACCTCCCCTAGCACTAGTCCACACCTCCCCTAGCACTAGTCCACACCTTCACTAGCACTAGCCCACACCTCCCCTAGCACTAGTCCACACCTCCCCTAGCACTAGTCCACACCTCCCCTAGCACTAGTCCACACCTCCCTTAGCACTAGTCCACACCTCCCCTAGCACTAGTCCACACCTCCCCTAGCACTAGCCCACACCTCCCCTAGCACTAGCCCACACCTCCCCTAGCACTAGTCCACACCTCCCTTAGCACTAGCCCACACCTCTCCTAGCACTAGTCCACACCTCCCCTAGCACTAGTCCACACCTCCCTTAGCACTAGTCCACACCTCCCTTAGCACTAGCCCACACCTCTCCTAGCACCAGTCCACACCTCTCCTAGCACCAATCCACACCTCCCCTAGCACTAGTCCACACCTCCCCTAGCACTAGTCCACACCTGCCCTAGCACGTGCACACCTCCCCTCCTCTAGTATTAGTCCACACCTCCCCTAGTACTATTCCACACCTCCCCTAGCACCATTCCACACCCTCACTAGCACTAGTCCACACCTCGCTTAGCACAAGTCCACACCTCCCCTAGTACCAGTCCACACCTCCTCTAGTACTAGCCGACACCTCCCCTAGCATCAGTCCACACCTCCCCTAGCACTAGTCCACACCTTCACTAGCACTAGCCCACACCTCCCCTAGCACTAGTCCACACCTCCCCTAGCACTAGTCCACACCTCCCCTAGCACTAGTCCACACCTCCCTTAGCACTAGTCCACACCTCCCCTAGCACTAGTCCACACCTCCCCTAGCACTAGCCCACACCTCCCCTAGCACTAGCCCACACCTCCCCTAGCACTAGTCCACACCTCCCTTAGCACTAGCCCACACCTCTCCTAGCACTAGTCCACACCTCCCCTAGCACTAGTCCACACCTCCCTTAGCACTAGTCCACACCTCCCTTAGCACTAGCCCACACCTCTCCTAGCACCAGTCCACACCTCTCCTAGCACCAATCCACACCTCCCCTAGCACTAGTCCACACCTCCCCTAGCACTAGTCCACACCTGCCCTAGCACGTGCACACCTCCCCTCCTCTAGTATTAGTCCACACCTCCCCTAGTACTATTCCACACCTCCCCTAGCACCAGTCCACACCTTCACTAGCACTAGTCCACACCTCGCTTAGCACAAGTCCACACCTCCCCTAGTACCAGCCCACACCTCCTCTAGTACTAGCCGACACCTCCCCTAGCATCAGTCCACACCTCCCCTAGCACTAGCCCACACCTCCCCTAGCACTAGTCCACACCTCCCCTAGCACTAGTCCACACCTCCCCTAGCACTAGTCAACACCTTCACTAGCACTAGTCCACACCTCCCCTAGTACCAGTCCACACCTCCCCTAGTACTAGCCCACACCTCCCCTAGCATCAGTCCACACCACCCATAGCACTAGCCCACACCTCCCCTAGCACTAGTCCACACCTCCCCTAGGACTAGTCCACACCTGCCCTAGCACGTGCACACCTCCCCTCCCCTAGTATTAGTCCACTCCTCCCGTGGCACTATTCCACACCTCCCCTAGCACTAGACCACACCTCCCCTAGCACCAGTCCCCACCTCCCCTAACACAAGTCCACACCTCCCCTAACACTAGTTCACACCTCCCCTAGCACTATTCCCCACCTCCCCTTTTTAGACTTGAATTACGATTCCCCAAATGAGTTCCTTGTTCAAGTCGGTTTAAATGTACTCACTCATGTCAAAGGTCACCTTGACCTTCTTCATATAAATTTATGCGCGCCCTTTGTCATGGTGATTGTTGAACATCAATATAATGCATGTCCATTGTGTATTTAACCATCTTAGCATTACAAAAGAAAGATATTCTAATTTGATACAAACAAAAACAGCTAATTGCATCATATTACAGATATACCTATAAAACGCCATATCCTTAATAAAGCCAACACCAAATTTGCTCCTTACAACAGAATCCCGACCAGAACTTATCAACTACTTGTAAGTATAGAACAACTACAATAACATTTTACCGAATCTAAATTCAACGAAATTAATTTTATATTGTTATTGATTCTCCGTTAAGGTGTGTGATTTTATTTCCAGGTGCGATGAAACTTTTGATTCTGCTTGTGTGTCTGGCAGTCTGTACGACAACTCTGTCTGCCAGGACCACGGCTAGATCTCTGGTAGTGTCCCTTTGTTTTCTAATTACGTCCACGTACATTTTAGAGCAGAGGACTCGGTCAGATGAGGCTCGTTAGCTGGGGACAGCCACTATTTTATGAGAGACAACTCCAAAATCAAACAACTGCTGCCCTGTAGTTTGTTCTTGGTTGGACAAAGGCTATGGAAGCAAATCCAAAAACAAAAGCAGGCTGAAATAGGAGTCAATGGCCTCAACGGCGCATAATCAGTTAATACGTATACTTTATCTTGTTGGAGGGGATCCCTTTCAACACTAAAATAAGAACGAAGAAGAAGATAATACAGGCAGTTCCTTATAATGTGTCTGCCTTTCTGTTTTACTAATTTAAAATAATAATTTAACAAAATTTTTTAGATTTATTAATGATTGGGACGGAGTGGTCTAGCGGTAGAGAGCTGGACTGCTAACCCGTAAGTCTCGAGTTCGAATCCGGGTTCAGTCAGTAGACCGTCCCTGAGTCCACCTAACTCTGATGGGTACCTAACTCACGTTAGGGAAAGTAAAAGCGGCTGGGCATAGTGCTGACCACACTATCTCTTCATATGCCGAGGTCACAGAAACAAGTGAACTCTACTTCACTTGCCCCATAGACAGTCAGGTTTGAAAGGGAAACTTTACTTTTATTCATGATTGCAGCCTCCAAAAGTTCCGAGCTCCGATTGATGATGCTCGTAAGTTGGAGACAGCTACCCATCTAATGGGTCATCCATAAATGACGTCAAGTTTTTTATGACGATTTTTACCTCCTCCACTCCCCACCGTCACACATCGTCAGACCACCCCCCTAAAATGACGTAACAACTCAGCCTACAACAGCCTACATCCCCTCCCCCTCAAAATTACAGTTGCATTTTTCTAAAACATCCATATTTTTCTAAAATCTTGTCTGAACTGTCAACATACAGTATTTTAATCAATCTAATTCCAATTTATTAAAACGGTTTCCTAAAACGCAAAATAACGGCTGAAACTACATCCCCCCTGTGACCTACTTAGGTCTAGTAAGGTTTTATTTTTAGTTTGACATTTGTTATAATACCATATATGGTCTGTGGTGCAATAACCGGTTTTTTCCGCTGTCTTACTAAGAGAGTCTTAGACTCAGAAATTTTCCATCGAGAGATGATTGATTGTTTCAGACCAGATGACCACCCCAGCCAATGGTCTTATGATTTGAAGGTGACCTTCCATGTTACCTAAGTCTATAAATAGATTGCCCACAGGTGTCTCGCGGCAGTCTTTGGTCAGACGTCGTTGAAGAGAGATAAGCCCTGTGTGTTGCCGTGCAGTATTAAGTTGTTATAATACTTGTGATTAAGTAATTCTTTATGCTTATAGCAGTGTTATGTATACAGTGGTGATTTTTCTGAAGTGTTTAAAGCTGTGATAGTGTATCATACTATTTATTCCCACGAATTGTAAGTTGGGTTTTGTTCCTTCTGTATATCCATTTTATTCTTGTATAAATCTAGTGTTCTGCCACGACTTTGTACACTCATTACAAGTTATATGCAGATTAAAGGTTTTGTTGGCATCATTAGTTTCTCTAGTGTTTCCCCTAGACATCAATTACGAGTCCTAGCGAACTAGTGAGTCAATTTTCTTTTATTTAGGCTTGTCGCCATCTGTGTGTAATCAGTTAAACGAATCCGGGAGCGTTCGCCATCTATCTGGCTGATAGATTGGTGTCCGTTACACCCCTCCCCCTACGAGTGTGACGTCGTTTATGGACGACCCCTAAGAGAGAAAACACAAATCGATCTATTTCTTCCTTGCAGTTTTATACTGGGTTGGACACAGGCTGTAGAAGCTAATTCAGACAGAAAAGCAGGTTGAAGTAAGAGTCAACGTGACATATGACAAATGACATGTTGACACGTAAATAATTTTTGAGGAAATTGCAATCTACTTTTCGATTAAAAATGAAGTAATTTCTTACCAACATGTGCTAAACTAATAACTTAATAAAACCAAATTTAATTTTACCATTATTGTTTTTCAGAACGAAGAAGATGAATTGCGCAATGGAGGAGATGACTGGATCGATGACATCATTGAAAACTATACAAAGTTAGGAGAAGCTGATGTTGATCGAAATGTGCGCAAAATTATGTAGCTAGTTGAGAACTATGTACATAATACTGACAGAAATAAATAAATAAATTTTAAAAAGTCACTTGTTTGTTTTGTATTCTAATGTATAAATACAATAAGAGATTAATCTTTAAAATAAATTATATATTAATAGAAATAAATGTCACATTTGAAAGTTTCAAAAGGGCAATTTAAAATAGTCAAGTAATGTAAAGTTCCCCTTCCAAACCTGACGGTCTATGGGGCAATTTTATCTGTGACCTCGGCATATGAAGGGATAGCGTGGTCGGCACTAAGCCCAGCCGCCTTTACTTCCCTAACGTGAGTTAGGTACCCATTAGAGCTGGGTGGACTCATGGACGATCTACTGACTTCAACCCGGATTCGAACTCGAGAATTACTAGTTAGCATTCAAGCTCTCTACCGCTAGGCCACTATTTAAAAAAAAATAGCTAAGTAATTATTTTTGGGGACGGCGTGGTCGGGCGAGTAAGATGATGGCCAACCCGATATCTGTCTACCCCCCCCCCCCCTCCTATATCAGACAACTGCAGCCTTGTATGCTCCCAACGACAGTGTGAGATTTATCACGGCGACATATAGGATACGTTTGATATTTAGTTGTATAAACCTACATGACATGGGCTGTACAATATGGTAGGTAGTACGGAAATTTATGTCGTGGTTGAGCTTAGTTTCGTTTTCCATATCATTTCTATATGAAGGACTTGGTGAAATTTAAATGTAGTGTAATAATGGGTTACCAGAAACATGCGCAACGGAAAAATGCGCAACAGAAAAAGCGCAAAAATGCGCTAGCAATTTTCTGTTAGCGCGTTTCTTTGTGTGCGCATCTTTCTCTTTGCACTTTTTTCTCAATGCACATTTTCTCGGGGCGCATTGCATATATATATATATGTATATATTATATATTATATATGATTCACATGTTTTGATGACTATACCAAACAGGAATTTGTCTGATTAGAAATCATATGGGCACCCTCTTGGGAGTGTTGTTTAGATTTAAAACATACGGATTTCCATTCTATATTTTAACCTTATCAAAGCTAATTATACTGATTTGCTAGCTATGTGGGTGCATACTTGTATATTAAATAATGAGGAAGTTCCTATAAAAGCCAAAAACTAAATGAGTCGCCAAACTTGATCAACTCAATTAGAACCCACCTACATCAAATTTTAGTTCTTGATCTACAACAGAACATAGATTTGTAAGTATACATTAAATTTTGGTTCTTGATCGTTATATTTCGCTTTATCTAACAGCAAGGGGGGGGGGGGAGGACATTTTTTTTCCCGGACCCGCTCTGAAAGGGGCGCCACTTTTCTTAAATAAACATAGTTTTGTATGATTGTTTCACATATCAGCAAAGATCTGTGTGAGTGTTTTATATGTGTATGATTGTTTCACATGTCAGCTAAGGTCTGTTTTTCAAATATCACCTATAATGTGTATGATTGTTTCACATATAATCTTTAATGTGTGTAACTGTTTCATAGATCAGCTAAAATGTGTGTGATTACCTCATACATCAGGTGTAATATGTGTGATTACTTCATACATCCGGTGTAATGTGTGTTATTGCTTCAGCTAAGATGTGATTGTGTCATATATCATCTAAGATGTGTATGAATGTTTCAAATGTCACCATAGATGTTTGTGATTATTTCAGCAATGATGAAACTTGTAATGCTGTTCCTTTTTCTGGCGGTCTTTGCAACCACGGTATCTGCTGTATCTGATCCCAGTTTTGGCTATCTGGTAGTTTTATCTTTATCACATTTACAGATACATTTTTTTTACAATATACGTATATGAATTTTTGGATTTTATTGATTTTTTACAATATACACATATCAATTTTTGGATTTCATTTATTTTTTTACAATTTTTTACACATATACATTTTTGGATTTCATTTATTTTTTTACAATATACACATATCAATTTTTGGATTTTATTGATTTTGAAAAGTTCGTTTGACAAAAATTAAATTTATACCTGAAGTGAAAATTAATGAATTAAACCCATTCTGTTTTTAGACCCTTGTGGATAACCACATGTTTGCGGATATGGCGTTCCCGGGGGACAGGACTAGGATCTCTCAGGGGCAGGAGAGAACCGCCCGATAATGGCGAGCTAGTCGAGTGCTCGATTCTCAGTACTGGTGGAAAAATAAAGTAGTCGAGAACTCGTCAGTACTGATGGAAATAATAAAAAAATAACTGAAGTGATTCTTTGTTGGATTTTTATTTTAATTCTCGAAACTGGTTCCTCATTTATTGTAGAGTGTGTCTATACAACGAAGCGTTGAGAAAGCCATTCTATGAGAAAAACCTTTATAAAATATTTTATTTAGCTTTGCATTTTATTTTCGTCATATTCAGTCTTTCTTTCAGACTTCTCTTCAGGGGGAGCGCCCCCCCCCCCCCACTCGACCCCACTTAAACGTAATAGTTTAAATTGAAAATATGCACCTTTAACAGTGCCCCTACCCCTCCGCCGAAAATTTAGTCCTTTCCCAAAAAGCTTTACTTATGAACTTTATTTTTTAAGTGAAAGAATAAATCTTTTTAATGAGTTTGAATTTGTCTAGAAATCGAGGGGAATTCTGTTTGATCCTGATGTTAATTTGATTGATATCAAGTAATTAAATAACACTGCACAGGTAACATGGGACACGGGAATTTACAAGCTACATTCTAGTCAAAAGTCAGATCTCTTTTGAAATGATTCGCTCGTTCGTGTTTAGGGAAAAACTACTATCTGCTAAGCTCTCTTCCCTCTACCCCCTCTCTCTCTCTGTTATGGTTTACGTCATAACAATTCTGAGTCATGGTTTCGTAAATTTGAACACTTTTTTTTTTCAAATTACAAGATTGTCTTTTAAAAAAATTCCAAAATAACATCCAATATGCAGTTATTTTTTTTTTTACAAATTACAATAATGTCTTTTTTAAAAATCAAATTAACTTCCAATATGTATTTAAAAAAATGTTTTTTGCAAATTACAAGATTGTCTTTAAAAAAAAAAAAATAATTTGCAATATGCAGTTGAAAATAGTTTCTTACTTGTTTTTACAACATCACTCGACCCCCCCCCCCCCCTCCCTGTAAATTTTACTTCGATAATCATCGCAACAATTCGACACCTCCCCACCCCCAACCAGAATGTGACATCTTTATTAGACTGCCAAAGCATATTTGTTTTAATAAAAATACCACTTTTTCCAACTAACGTGTTGAAGTAAAACTACAAGTCACATATAGTGAACTTTTCTGGAGGGGAATGTTTACATTTGTCAGCCCATTTGATTGAACTACAGGCTTTGTAATGTTGCTGGTGACACACACACACACACACACACCTACACACAATACATATGCACACATATATTCACACATAAATACGTATACATTTTCCTAAACAAATGTATGACCTCGTGTATTGATTAGCGCACATTATTCAAACTCTAGTCTGCTGGTCGCTAATGTCAGAGTGACCTGACCTAGAACAGAACAGCTCGACCTGACATTCATCGGTATGGTATTAACACTCCATGAAATTAATACTTTAAATAAATCATTATTTGTTTCTGTCCTTATGGGTAACATCTCTGTTAAACCTTGTATGTGTGTGTTAAACCTCGCGGTTAAACCATGTATATACACTTCATCTGTCTAGTTAAATACAGTGTTTCTTTCATGCAACTGTTCGGGAGATGGGGCGCTGCCCCCTTCCCCCTCATAACGAAATAATGAAACTAAAAAGTGACGACAAAAAAAATGTAGATTTTTTATTTTTTTTTAATTTACTTACAATTATCTTTAGTAACCTACCATATATAATAACAACAAAAAAAGCAGTATAAAAATTATAAAACAAAAATACATTTAAGTTTGTATGATCAAATGTGTTAGCTAATCTGCAAAAGTAAAGAAAAAAGTGGTTCCCCTTTCAGACATGGGGCAGATGAAGAAATAGTCATATGAAGAGATGGTATGGTCAACACTCTGCCAAGCTGACCATACAGTTCCGAACATTTTCCGAACGCTCTACCATTCCACCACACTGTCCCAAAAATAAAACGAGTTATTTAAAAATATTCAAATAAACTTTGCGAGTGCAACAAGTTTAATGCCAGACTGTGAAATAGTGAAGGTCTGCATACCGCCTAATGTAAACATTTTTTTTCAATATGTTCAAATGTCGTGTTTAGAGAGATTGCAAGTTGATAAAGTCCTGGCTACAATCCTGATCTATTTGACACTAACATATATAATCAACAATACACAACTGAATGTTTCTAACTTTAAAATATACAACTTTATTTTTCTAATTTTAAAATATACAACTCAAGTTTCTAACTTTAAAATATACAACTCACTTTTTCTAACTATAAAATATACAAATCTATGTTGCAAACTTTAAAATCTACAACTTAATGTTTCTAACTTTAAAATATACAACTCAATGTTGTAAAATTTAAAATCTACAACTTAATGTTTCTATCTTTAAAATATACAACTCAAGTTTCTAACTTTAAAATATACAACTCAATGTTGCAAACTTCAAAATGTACAATTTAATGTTTCTAACTTTAAAATATACAACTCACTTTTTCTAACTTAATGTTTCTAACTTGAAAATATACAACTCAATTTTTCTCACTTTAAAATATACAACTCAATGTTTTTAATTTTAATATATGCAACTCGTTTCTCACTTTAAAATACACAGCTCAATGTTTCTAACTTTAAAAAAAAATCTTCAATGTTTGATGACAAATTCGCTTTAGAAAATATTCAACCGTTTTATTCTATATAATTTTTCCTGAAGTAAAACAACGACAGCAAGCGGTCTATAAATAGCTTTAGCGCACCTCTAACTGTGTGATTGAAACAGAAGAGAACGGGGTTGATGGCGGAGTTTGTGAAGCCAACCCAGTTGAAGAACAGCAGGACCCAGGTCGGTACGCCGGAAGTCCTGAAGAAGGACATTGGTCCTACAATGCTGGTGGGGAACCAGCACAGGTAGAAGCAAAGGACAACGATCCCGATGGTACGGACAGCCTTACGCTTGGGGCTCACGTGCCGGAAGCTGCATTTTAAAGATGGGTGGATCCGGTGGAAGGTGACGTCATTGTCTTGGAGAGTTTGATCTTTCTGTAATGATGCCTTGTTGTCTTTGTAATCCTTGTCTAGTGAAGACATAGTGTTAGTATCACTTTTCGAAGTTTCTATCTTTTGATCGTTAAAAGTTGCTGGAGCTTTGGCGTTTAAAATTTTAGTATTGTTTACCGAGTCAAGATTCTTTAGTTCTTTAGTATTGCGGTGATTAGTCGGCTTCGCTTTAGGCGATTCTCCTACACTCTTACACGTATTCACAGAGCAATGATCTGTTGCAGTTGTTGACGTTTTCCCAATCGAAACAAAGAAGATAGGATCAACCACACAATGTGCGTTCTCCTCTGGTTGTTTCAAAGGTCTGTCCGTAACACCAATTGAGTTTTTAAAACTTCTTCTAAAATATGTCGCAGGTTTCGATTTCCATGATTTCAGTCTACTGGAATTCAAAGACCCAAATTTGAAAGAACGGGAGAAGGCTTTTAGAGACTTGGACCCTGGGTTCAAAGACCCGGACCCAAGATCGAAGTTCCGCTGTTTCCCGCCCGAACGAACAAGTTGCCTGACGATGCAGCAGTAGAGAACAAAGATGGCGACGAAGGGAAGGTAGAAGCCCATGACGAAGATGGAGAACATGAACCGCTGGGTGAACCCAATCAGGCATATCCCCATCTCCCGCGCGCACCGGCTCGTCATCTCCTCCCCCGGGTGGTGCCACCCCACCAGAACCGGTATCATCACCACGGCAACGGGCGTCACCCAACACACCCCGATCATCACAAATCCGATTTTTCTGGTCAGTCTCCGGTACACCAACGGCCAGCAAATCGCGAGATATCGATCGATTGCCATCGATATGACGTGATAGATCGATAACGAAATACATATGAGATCGAAAAGACTTCGGATCGAACAGAGTTCAAAACCAAACCTCCATTTCCCATTATCGTGGATTTCAACAACTCCTAAAGGCATGACTAAAAGTCCAACACAGGAGTCCGCGATAACCATGGACGTCATCAACATGGTGGTGATGGTGCTGTCGCTCTTGGTGGGGTTGTAGAAGGTCCGGCGTTGGACGATACGGTAGTGGACGAGGGAGAGAAGGATGAGGAGGTTGCCGACGATGGTTGCGCAGGTGACGATGCTGATGAAGACGACGAAAAGGCTGAGGGCGTTGTCATCAGCTGTGATGAGTTTTAGATGTGGCGGGCCTGTGTGGTTACACCAGCTTAGGTTCATCATAATTTTCTTAATCTGGTGGTTAGGGTTAGATAAAAGTGGTTAGGGTATAGATAAAGCATAAGTGGTTAGGGTTAGATAAAACAGTAATGGTTAGAGTTAGATGAAACAATAGTGGATAAGGTTAGATTAAAAAAACGTAATGGTTATGGTAAGATAAACAAGTTAATTAAAAAGTCTAGTAACATTTATGCGCAATTTCCTTATGTTATCTAAAAATAGCTCTGTCGTAGCGTAAATCAAGAGCAGGGTTAGTAAAACCATTGGTTAGTTATTAAAACGTTTTTTCCCACGTTTTCTTTAACTTGCTTTCGTCTCTGTTTGTTTGTCTTTCCAATCAAATCTTGCGATCGAAATTTCTGGCACTTCCCAGTTAGCTAGCGCGATGAAATTTTCAGGGAAGCTTTGTTTTGGATGACATTAGAATATTCAATTGTTATTATTATTAATTTTTTTTCAGTATTTTACATGTTTTATTTACAATAGAGTTACATGACTAAAAAACCATTGCGCGCCTAGCTACCGAACGTGATGGCGCAGCCATTGAACGTGATGGCGCAGCTATTGAACGTGATGACGCGTGTGGTGTGGTTGGATAAATATGCCAACTAATTCGGTCCAAATTTTAATTAATTCAAAAAAAAATTTGTGACCGAACGAAAGGATATTTTTGAAAACTTTCTTCGGCAATATTGTTCTAAATTATGGCAGGAATCGATTGGTACATGTTTCAAGTCGCTAATTGGTCTGTTTGCCGAGATATGGGCCAAAAACTGCTTTTTTTTCGAGGTTTTTTGGCTTTTCCGGGAAATCCATGAAAGAAACCCGGAATTTTTATGGCCTATGTTCATCCTCGTAACTTG